ACGAGCTCCATCCAATTTCATAGGTATCTTATGAATTCATACTCCATCTAGAGCATATCAGTGCTAACATTTGAAAACGGCGCAAAAGCCATTTGTAAACAAATGGTTTGTGGGCCCTTTACTCGCTACCCGAAGAACGCCCACGCAAACCAACAACATCGTCAGGAAGGGGAAAATTTCCCCTACCCGATGTTGCTGTTGTGTCGCGTGGGTGTACTTCAAGTAGTGAGTAAAGGGCCCACAAACCATTTGTTTACAAATGGCTTTTGTGCCGTTTTCAAATGTTAGCACTGATATATAGTTTTATACAATAAACGGTGTATGAAAAAAAAAAAATGAATTTCATAAACCCATCGTATGGATTGCTTTTACGCAAAATATGTCAAAAATTCATAAGACGATCGTATGAAAAGTACTAGGTCAGTGTAAATTACAACAAAAACAACAAAGATGGCAGATCCAGTTATGCGACGTAGCACAAGGCTTCGCAAATCTGTAAGTAGTAATTTATTATAGAATCAAAGCAGTAATTTATGTTTTAACATCTTTAGTTTTACATTTCCAGATTAGCTTCTGCTGCTCCTGGTTTCACATTGTACATAACTGCACCGTTGCACCAGCTGACCTGGAAGACCCATTGCATGAAAATCGAACGCCAACGGAACTAGTTTTTCGATTTCTATCGAAGTTTGTTCAGTATTCTCAGCTGCTTCGTCTGATGTACACCAAAATATCAAAGCATCATGATCAAAATCTAAACCAGAAAACGTTTTTAAAAAATTGTAAGTAAATGTTATAAAATACTAATTCAAATACAAGTCAATATAAACTAAGAAAATAAAAAAAAATCTCGTTTATTTCAAACAAAACTAAATGACGAAAAGTAAACGTAGTGTTCCATGATATCCATAATTACTTTTGATTCAAATTCATAGTTGTACACGAGAAAATCATACGATAGCAGTATGAATCAATTTGACAGTTCTTCATAGTCCGATCGTATGAAATTCAACCTAAAATCTTGTCGCAAAAAATCATACGATATTACTATGGAATTTGATGGAATAACAATCTCAGTGTATGCATCTGAAAATATGTGCATGAAATATTGCGGACATTGTCTTATCTCTTCACTCCACCATAGAACCAGTGAGCTACAATCTCTTCACACAAAGCTTGAGAGTATCCTATGCGATTTTCATAGGAGTGAAAAGGTAAAGAAATGTCCACCAGGTTTCACGCACAGACTGACGATTGCGGATGGGATTTTACCATAAGAGTAAAGAGATATAGAGTGAAGGCGAATTTAAAATTTCCAGGGTAATGCGCGATGTCAATCATACAAGGTCTGGCCCAACTGACTTATTGGTATTACACAGCTGAAGGTGGTGTTCGTATTTCACCTAAGAGTTTATCTCTTTACACGCAACAGCGGTTGCCTGTGATGTCACGACTGCTGTTCGCAGTATGGAATGTTGTGCTGACGTAACGTCGTCATTCGCTTGCGCAGGTTTTTTTTAAACTAGCATTTTCAAGCCGGTCAGAAGCCAATCAAGAGCGTTATTAACCAGTAATATTGTGTATTTACAGATGCAATATTTCTTAGTCTCTTTGACCTGATTGAATTCCATTCGATTCATTGCGTAAATTGCGATACTTGAATGTAATTGAGCAAACAATTCGAAGATTTTATGTTTGCGTTTAAACATTTTATATGAATTATATTGTTCACTGTGCTTTTAGTAAGTCAACTTATGAGTGTCATGAAATAATCTGTTGATAAAAGTTGAATTTTTTCTAAGAAATCTTGAAACATAACTAGGGTATGTGTACCAGTTTTAGGCCCTACCGAATTGAATTGACCTTATCTTAAATTTCACATTTTAACATTCTTTCTAATTTTGTTTCGATACAAGGTAAGAACATATGTTTTGGCAGAAATCTACGCAAATAAAGCCATTACAATTTATTTCAAATATGGCCCTAGGGCCAAAAACTGGACCACTAGTGCCAATACTGGTACACTTATCCTATGTAAAATAGATTCAAACGATTACTTTCGTTTGTAAATAGTGCTTATTGTTGGTAGAAAATATAGCCGTTCCTTTCCTTTGCCTTTTCGATCAATCTTTCCACGTTTTTAGTGCAAAATAATTGGAGTAGATCTTTTGGTCAAAACATTTTCAATTGGCCGCAGCCTCGGCCGCAGCTGAGAAGCATATGGAGGATTGAATCCTTGGGTATTACAGGTAAGCACTCAACTTGATTTATCGTTCTGCTTGTGAAATTCTTGCGAATGGAATGATGGTCAGCTCAAAACACTGCATCACAAGTAACACACAAAAAATCTTTCTGAAAAATAATTAGAACGACTTGTTGTATTAATGTATTATAAGTGATGCATAAAACATCCCATGTTTTATATGAGGTTTAAAGATGTTTTCTTCATACTTCCTAGAATTCAACATTTTCCAAAATAGTTTTCTTTTGCTTTCAACTTTAAATGTTATTTAAACGTGCGTTTTACTGCTTTAATACCACTATAAAACTTGTCGTGTGCAAAATCAATCTTAGTTGAATTTATAAAGCTCTTGAAGAGATTCTGCACTTTCCAGATAGACGTGGACATTGACGGCGCCATTGAGCCGGACTGTCACTTCACGCAGTGATTGACAGTTTCTTATGAGGTTTTCGGAGGTTTGTTATAACGAAAGTTGAAAACACTCTTTTATGAGATCTCATAAATCAATGCAACTGAAAAGGTGCAGGATGTGTTATAAGTAGTTGAAAATACATTTAAATAACACTCTGGCAATTAAATGTACGCATTGCTGCTTACAAAACTTCTTTATGACGGATCGAAGCAGGCGTGTTGCACAAGAATATAATTTTCATGCCATTGGCAAGAACATGATAGATAGGGTTACGGTATGTAATGTGGGTCTAGTCCTTTCATTCGGCCTATCACGCAAATAAATAATTAATTAAGGAATATTACACAAAAAATAAGGAAAATATTGATCACTGATGATTGATAAATGTGTACCACACACAAATCAATTTATATCACAACATTTCAATACATTTTCAGCTCTCGTAAGTAATAAAACTGGTTGAGAATATCACTCTGTTCGGAGTTTTTAGCCGCCATGACTTCTAAGGTTAAGATGGGAAGGTTGCACTGACGATCATCAAATGGCCTGATTATGGCATTTATTGAATGGAATTACCTGATAATACACACTAGACGTAAAACTCACAGTTACTGTTTGAATATTTTATGTTTATTTTAATTGTTTAACAACGTTTTCACAAGTAAATCATGGACCCAACTTTAGGGACACATTTCTTTTCTATGTTCCTAACTTTGGCCCATGAAATTCATTTGACAGCATATAGCAATAAGAGTAACGTCAACAATGTGGTTTGCATTTGGATGATAAGGAACGAACAGGAAGGGAGATTTTTTCTGCCAAATCTGTATAATGAACATCACAATGTTTTGATTTAGATATTCTGCGGTCGAAAGACGATAAGCGAAATTTTTAATTTTTAATTTTTAACTTGAGTGATTTAATGTAGTTTTCGTAAAATTTTCTCTAAGAAATGTTTTGAGGAATGAAGAGTATTAAGTTAACAGTGATAGTGATAAAAAAAAATACATAAGAAAACGTTACCAAGAGCGTTTTTTTTGAGAATCAAACAGGATAGGACGAAGTTGCATCCATAAATAGACCCAATTTGGGGACAATAGACCGATATTACATACATTTCCCTGGTGAGTTTTTGTCTTAAAAAAAGTAAGTTTTTCAACTTTTTGCGGTTCCTGATAGCAAACGACATGATAAGCATATCTAAGCATACCATTTAGCAGTAGAATATCGTTTGCAGGTAAATTAATTGATGAGTTATGATTAAAAACGTAATCTATGGCTGCATATAAGACCGAGGTTAGGGACGTATACCCTACTTATTAATAACCTTTTATCAAGCGGAGTTGGTCTAGTTAGGAAGTAATAAGTCTTTCACGCCAAGGACCTGTGTTCGAATTCCATGCTCAATTTCTTTTAATTTTTTGCCGCTGGTTTTTATGATGTTTCCAAAACTAGTTATAAGACCGGCGAAAAATGTATACTTTTTTGATTGCAAACGTTAATATATTTGTTTGCTGTGAGACGCGAGGTGAGGAGCTAGCTATTTAGTTATAAATAAAGGACGTAAATAGTTAAGGAAAAACCAAGACATAAGTTCAAAAGTTCTAAAAAGACAGAGAATTATAAACCACGCTATAATTATTTAAATAGAATTGACTACCCCCTTCATCCCCTTTCTCATTTTACAGCTGGTATAATAAATTTGACAGATCGATGCCTTTCTATACCACTTGAAATCACTAAAATTGGGTCTTTGATTATCGAGTTCCACATATGTTATGTCTGGTTGGTAGAAATGATTATTTTTAAATATTTCATCCTTAGAATCGTATTATTGTTTTTTTGAAATCGCGATAAATCGTTTATGGAAATAATATAGCTTCCACTTTAATATGCACATAGCAAATCTATGCATCTTGGTTGGTTCGTATATGACTGGGCATATCTGAAAACTACGGACCAAAATGTTGACTGGGATAAATTTGTTCTTCTCGATAATTTGAAAACAGTCTTTAAAGATGCGCTAATGAAGAATGTTATAACAAACTTTTACTAGGTGTATATTAATGAACATAGATTTTATGCTTTATATTGACACAGTTATATTTTATGTCAATCAGTGCAGATTTAAGCAAGATTAAATTTATGCGAGGTTAAAAGCAGGTTAGAAAAATATTGATACGAAAAACGTTTGATGCAAGTCACTTTATTTCATTTGTGTAAAACTTCGAAAATCGATAATAAACCTTTGGAGGGCAACGCAATGAAAGAATAGACCAGGGACCCAAAGGGTGGCGAAGACGGAGAGTTTTATGTTTGATAAAATTAATTTTGTGTTGAACTTACCTATAGCAGAGAAACATTGCGACTTTGGTGCTCGACGACATCCACACAATGTTACCGGTTCATTCTTTTCCGCCTTTGACGAGGTGGTGGAAAAACACAATGAAGGACTTTGCGGTCTTGATGAGGTGCTACTACCGATAAAGTTAGGAACTTGGAGAGGTGGTTTTGTGTTCATATTTGTCTGTATTCTGCTAGGGGTTAATTTTGTCTTTTACTTGCTTGCTCGTATGTTTACTTTAGTTGGTCCTTGGTTTCACACTAATCATTTGTGTTTCTTCACTTCTCCACGGTTGCAGTATGGTTTTCGTGTCGCTTCAGACAGGAAACGAAAAAGGTACATAAGGGTCTTATCAAAGCACCATGGCTAATTTGATTTAATCAGTTGTCTAACACGATTTCCACTAACTACTTTATATTCACAACCTCTCGTTCGCTGGATCTGATGAGGCTGATGGCACTGTTCTTGGTGCAATTTTGAATGCTTCATGCTTCTGACTGACGCTGTGACTAATTGCAATCTTCTTCCACTTTCTGATGAACCTGTTCCCATCTGCTTCACTGTATTAGTGTTGAATATTCATATTCTTCGCTGCATCTCTTCATTGGCTATAACGCAGTCCAAAAGGAAAAGTTTGATCTGTTGGAAAAAAATATTGAGAAAAGCGATAAGGTGATATTAGAAATGGGAGCTACGGATTTCATTTCAATGAATAATTGGCTTGAAACTTTGAGTGGCTGCACAGTGTCGAGAAAATTGGTTGCATGATAGAAAAAGTTTTCAGAGTGAGTCGACTCCATTTCGGGTAGAGGCAGAACATACATAATATAAAAAAATGCCCATACTGCTTCTTATAAAAAAACACCTGTACGGGGTCACTTTAGAGCGATAGATTTATGATATCTTTGCTGCTGGTTGATGAAATATTCAAGCATTATCGGTATTGATTCGGGCGTGAGTGGCTGACTTTGTATGAAGTTGAGCAATTTTAGTAAACGGTTCGCGTTGTAACTTTTTCTAACTGCAGTGTTTCAAAAAATGGCCGTTTCATCTGTACGGGCACTGATTTGTAACCCTGTATGACGTAACAAAACATACAGACACACGATGTAACAATTCATGCGCAGTTGTGATTGGTAGGCTAGATAATCCGGTAGAATGTAATATAGTGTGCAATATGTGGTGTTTACACGAATAATTAGGATAATTTATTTTAATTTGAAATATAGTGCATTGTACATTTAAACTTTCAAAAAATGTCGAATAATAAATTGATAAATTCTCTTTTATATTTTGATTCTTTTTCCTTTAGATTTTGACTCGAGCTTCAAACAATAATGATTATTTTTTTTTATTAAATGTTCATTTATTAATTGAAAAAAATAAAAATAAAATAATAATATATGTCACTGGTCTTGCTTTTCAGCAGAATAACTCTGAGCAGAATCGCAAGAATCTGCAGAGAATTCCATGGAGGGCATACAAAATAAATTATAAGGAATATTCCAAGGGGATTTTTGTGAGAAAATTACATAATTACAATGAGTTCTAGGACCTCTAAAAAAACGTACCATCTCATAAAATATAAATAGGGTTCCTTAGTGACAAAAACAAGCAATGATACTGATATCATTGTGCAACACGACTTAGTTGGACGGCTTTTTTTATACCATATTTGACTTTCTTATGGTCTCCTGAGTTTAAGACTAGAATTTACATTTGCCTTAATACGATTTTTTTAGGATTGTGCCCTTTAAGTGTTGGTGGAGCTACGCCTTAAAGACACTGGCCAAGTATTAGCAATTTCACCGATATGAGGAGTGAAACATCGAGATGGCGTTTACAATTGTTCTAGGCAAATGTTCCTTAAGTCACTTTCTACAAACGCTCAAACGCTCAATACTAAACACTCTTTTAATAAATGAATGAAGTATTTGAGTTGCATATTTAAATAATTTATTAAAATTAAATTTAAATTTAAAACACAAATTTTCAATTATGTGGCGAATTTAATCATATACATACTAGTCCAGGCCAGTTCGGTAATTTTTGAACGTTCTTCAAATCTTTAAAAAAGTTTAACGTGTACAGACTTTTTTCTGTGTACCCCATGTATTTATAAACAATAATATTTGTGAATTTGATTGATTTATCATGTGTAACAGTAATTTGAAAACTTTACCGACGTGTTCTGCTGTTAAAAAACACGGTATAATTCTAGTTCGGTGATCTGAATTAAGACTGCAGATGTTTATGCAATACAATATTCTGAAGATAGCATTTAAACATATTTATACTTTTAGAGTGCATTGGCATTTATACATGATTTGTGTTCGCGCAAGAAGAATCTGATGTTAACATTTCTATAAAAGTTGTGGTATGCGATAAAAATTTCATATTTTGTCATAAAATAGTTAAAAATACGCCTAAATGTAGGCAATTCCTATCAGTTTTCACATAACATTATTTTTAACCCATATGTGCGTGGCGGATTTTTAGCTTTTTCTACACCATGTCGAAGTCTGAATTCAGATTTGGATTCGGTGAGCTTTTTTAAAATTACTTTATTATTGAGACTTTTAGCACTTGGCTAGTTCATCTTTCGGGGATGGATTTTAAAGAACAGTTAAAAGTTGTATGTTTAATTATTTCCATAATATTATACATTTAGAGCGGAAAATGTTTCAAAGGTACTATTTAAAACTACTTAATGAAATACTGAAGAAATTATCTAATAACAATATCAAAAGGATTGTTGAGAAAAGAACCTTAATGAACCACTTCACTCCGTTTTACGGTACCTAAAAACGTAACGTGTTAGAGTATAAGTTTATTCTAGACTTTAACTCAAGAGACTACAGTAAATACAGTAATATTGTCCTGCCCTAGGAAAAAAAAATCAAATTTTTCACACAGTGCATTTGACCATGCATCAGAATTTTAGTCCAACCCCTCTCTTGTTTCCAATCTCATTTACCCGGAACATGCTTGAGGAAAATGGATGTGGTACATATTACTCCTTTACACACCAGTTAATGGTGCTCTACAAGCGTTGCGAGCCATATACATTTCCTAACATCTGCTATCGGAAAACAGAGAATGCTATTAAACAAACATTCCCAGTTATTAAAAGTTTTCTTGTAAAATTGATGATTAATTCAGTAGGTTTTATACAATTGCTGTTTGATGGACAAAATCTACAGTTTTGTCCATCAAACAGCAATGGGTCAAATTTGTTTAATTTCCCTGTCCACTGAAATTTATTTTCCCACATACCCACAATCTAAATTATTTCTTGCGTCGATCCAGCAGTCGAACTATCAGTCAAATTGATTGATGATGCGTTAATTTCACGCATGTTTGAATTCTCATTACGTATGGAAATTTTTGAATTGTTTCATCCCAAGCTAAACGTTGGGCACTGGTTCACAGCTTTATTCTGGCTACATGTTCAGGAACTCACATCTCACATTCACTCACTCTATTGTGCTTTGCAAAGGGTTTATTCCCATAAAAGCTTGAGGAAGTCCGTTTCTATTCGAGCCGGCAATAAATGCTCCTTCTATAGTGGTCAGTCGACTCTAGAGCACCCAATTCCTGTAGGAGAACACTTAATATCGATATGCCCTATGCATACAGATCAAATCCCCGATTCAAACGCGGCTGCCAAACAATACCCTTCCAGCTCCGGGACCGGAGTGGATTGAGACTACATTCTAGTTTCATACATTGGCATCAGATAAAATAGGAACAACAAGAAGAAGCAAGGTGTCCATTCGAACCTACTCTTTTTCGATTTAGCCGGTTAGATTAGTTAACCGGAGGGGTAGTTCTCTGGATCTTATGGGTTTGCCATGACGAGACGCTCAATCTCATCCCAAATCGAAAGCAGATATGAATTGGGAAATGAGAAATCGATGTGTGGATCTTTTCGAAATGCTCAGGAGAATAGAAAATGGTACACATTGGACCGAAAGGCACCAGGAAAAGTTCAGCAATAAATTATGCAAGCTCTTTTGGGGCGAATTAATCCGATTAATTACGTGTGGCCTATCATTAACAATTTGAATTAACCGCTGGTAGTGACGATTTGGATAACTATTAGTTTACTCATTTAATTGAATTAAATTATTCATTTCCTATTGTGATCTATAGTAACTTATTTTACGTATAGATTTTAGATATTTTATTGATGGATATAAGTGGCATTAATTCTAAATCTCTACAACTATGTCCGATGCACCTTAAGGTACAATAATCTAGGATTCGTACTAGCAAACAATTTGTCAATTTATCTTATGACATATCCATATCTAGCCCAAAACAATTTTTGATCGTACAGGGAACTAATGGCTATACAACCATCCTTTGGAGCAGCCAATTCATAATGACCATTCCTAGGGAGATGCGATCTTTGGATGAAAAATTACAACGCAATTGCTCACTTGTTATCGTAGCCTGGTAGCATTCCTCTAATGCCACACCGCATCGTGCAAGTGCATAACAGGAGAGTTTTCGTTTAAGTTTTATCTGCATACAAAAACACATGCTGTCCGCCAAGCCCTGGTGTATTTCCAAGCTTCGTCGTCAGTTGTCGGAGAAACGCAGCATCAACTCCGCAGAAAAATGAATGCGAACACAATTTGCCAGGATGTATAGATAAACTATGCTGAAAGTATGCACAACAGCGTTTCCATGTAAAATTTAGAAAGGTAATTTATTTCCAAATTGCTAGTCCGTAAAACTTGTTTTTTCCTTACGGGAATTCCAAACACTCGCTGGAAGGACGATGGACTCTGAGAATGTGGTACTACTCTGTTGTAGACGGCATTCCGCTCACTCATTGAGGAAGGAAATGATAAATGTTTTCTGCTTCACAGCGGATGACTCGTCTTCTAGCTTTCGTTCGCATGCAAGTTTGTGAATGCTCGCAGTTGAAACATACAAAATCGTGTGTGGACGGTTTTGAAACGGCCGTGGCAATTATTATCCACGGATGAGAGGAACGTCTCACGGAGATCGGTGACTGCGTTACTTCAAGAATTTGCATGTAATATTCAGTGTTCCGGCCGGTAAAGTTTATTACGAGAGATGTGCTTCATATGTGTGTAATGCATTGTGACATTTTCGAGATGAACTGTCATTTCTAATACAGTTTAAATCAGTAAGTGGCTCATCTTCTGGGAAGGCTTTGATTATAAGAAAAGGCGGCGGATACAGTAAAGTTGGCTTTAGCTCTCAATGTATGGTCAGAATATATTCATTGCTTTTCAGGTTCTACTTGAACTTGTTCACTGGATCTCTACTTATTTCACACAGTTAATAAAAAAATGTAAATGTAAGTGTAAATTTCCGTTACTACGATGCACATAAATGGAGCGTCATACATCACACAAGTTTACATTGCAGATCGTGTAAATTTATGAGACATGTCATGAAATATTCCATATATTGTATGCAACTGTCCTCCTTTGTAAGCAATATTTCTTGCAAGATGCTAGTTTACGTGAAAAGGACGCTTATATGCATACATGTTTGCATGCATGGATGTTTACATCACCAGTAATATTCATATTTTATAACTGTGCTGTATCAGATGAACTATAAAGATTGAACACGAAAGGATTTTTGAGTATTTT